CACCCCAAACAGACATCAAGAAACAGTATTTGTCAGAAAGCAGAGTGGAATTCCTGGAGGCAGACACAGTTGAATCCTGATTTTTAGTCTTGTAGAAAGGTGGAGAAGTAGCAGCAAGCAGAGAGCCTCACAGTTAAAAATGTGACGTTTGTGGTTGACATAAACATTCAAATGCTTGTTTGTTTCCAGGGCTGGAAGAAACTTTGTTGATTCATTCAAAAAGTAGCAGCAAGAAGGCCACAACTTTACAGACAGTTAGGATGCCACGGAGTAATGGTAAGTAGGACCTTGTTACTGGAACAGTCTCAAGCAGTAGGTAACATGCTTGATGTTAACTTTTCCTTCAGTGCTTTTCTTGCATTAGTAAAGGGAGAAGCTCTTGTGTTCTGTTTCTGCTGGTGCTGGATCCTTCGTTGCAGTTGCGTGTCCCGCAGGTTAATCACACACCTGCTACTCCTGCAGAGCTCGGTTTTGCAACTCTGGGCGTTACAGCTGTGAGTTTTAGGGACTTAGTTCTCCTTGCAGGAATACTCGCGCTGCCTGCCTACGGTGAATTCGCCAGGTTGTACCTTCATCTGGTCAGCAGCTTGTGCACTGGTGCAAGTTACGTAGATCACTTTCAAAACTAAGGAATGTGCTGGCAAAATTCTTCAGCCAGATCATATAACCATCCATTCAATACAAGTAATTTTAATGCATTGGGAAAAGAAAGTGAAATTCTTTAATCGAGCTGTGGTCCTTCTTTGTTGGTCAGAGCTACATACAGATTGCTAACATTCTTTTCAGCTAACTCTGTGCATAAGAGGACGTGGCGTGAAAATAGTTTTTCTTCAAACGTAGCGTGTCTTCAGCTTTTTTCTTCGTGAAAATGAACGCATGGTAATGATTTCTTTTTCAGTTCTGGACCGAGTGCAGAGCTTTTTACCACAGATGGCCCATGCGAATGACGAGCTAAGAAGAAAAATGGTTACAGCACCAGCTCAACAGTTTGATATTGAAAATCTAGACAGTGCAACAGAAAAAGTCATAGAAATGGTAAATACTTATTAGATTTGTTATTTTTATGAAGTAAATTTAGATGTGATTAAAATAATTCTCTGATCTTGGAACGAGCTAATTTGATAGATAAGGAAAAGTCCTTACTATTTTAGTCTGCAGTCTGCAAATTCAAAACATTGATGTAATAAAAATGTTTATTTGGTTCAAATTTACTACTTGCAGAATAGGATGACTGGGGAGGAAGTAGCTTAAGGCCAGAATAAGACATACTTTTGAATCAGCAGCTCTGAATCAAAAGTAAGTCACAAATTGTATTTTAAATGTCTAATGTAGCTAATTTGGTTTAGAAACTGGACAACGTACGGCATAGTAAGGCACAGCAGAAGTCTTTCGTGTAGGAGTAATAACTGGCTTTCAGCTGCGCTTTGAAGGTATTTTTAGGACTGGCTGTAGGTCTTGGGTTTAGAAAAGTTGTTACTGCTGTTGTGATCCTTTATGGTTGGTATTTGTCTACTTATTTACATTCGCATCAGTATTTTCTTCCTGTTTTTAACTGAAGTGCTGCAGCCAGGTGCTTGTGTAAGAAAATTGTAATTCGAAGCTGATGCGATAGCGTCCCAGCCAAGTGCCTTCTGGCCTGCGGACCCACATGATGAAAGGCAGAAATAAGGAAGCCGGGTGTCTGGGGTGTGAGCCATCTGAACGGTGTATTGGCTGCCAGTTGGATTCAGAGGGCTTGTGCATTGTATCCAGCCTGCATACAATAGGTTGTCCAGTGCTGGTATATGCGGGAGAATTCCAAATAAATAGCGAGAAAGCGAAGTGGATCATGAGAATTGTTTGTTTTAATATGCTGAAGTGGAATGGGTAGCTCGGACAGGATTGTTAGAAGATTTTTCACGTGACAAGTGTCTTGGCTTTGTAGTAAACAGGGCAGGAGACCTGGTGATGAATAGCTGAATGCCATTTGCAGTTCACTGAAGAAATTTATTTGCACCTCAGTTCCTGTATTTTGCTTTGCTGCATACAGGAAGTTTTGAGGTGAGGATTATCAGCTTAAGACAACATATTTTCAGGGAGTAAACCAGACCTAAAAATCATGGCTCTGCATATGGAAATATATGATCAGTTTTACTTGAGAAAATATCCCGGTGATTTAAACTACGTGCTGTTTGCAGTCACTGTAGTGGCTTGAACACAACTAGGCTTTAAGATATCAACGACGTTAATAAACATACATACACACGCTTATACACTAATCGGCTTCATGGGAATTCTTTACTGAAAATCAGTTCTGATGCCTCCTGCTCATCAGTGTAAACATCTGAGCTCAGCTGTCGACTCATTTTGCTCTTTGGTAAGAATATAAAAATGGCCTTATATTTGCTGTAAGGCAGTATAACTTACAGTTTAAATACTTAGGAATCTGTTCATGATATTTGTCATAATCCTAGGAGAACCCAGAAGTTTCTAATTGTGGTTTTCTTACGGTAGTAGGCTGTTCCATGTGTATGCCTTATGTTTTACTCCAGTGATAGGAGTGGTATAGAGATGTGTGATGTGTTAACGAAGGTATTTTTTTCCAGAATTTGGCTGTAGTTGAACTGAGTGGTTCTGATACAGATGAAGAGATCCTAACTTCAGAAGATGACTCGGAATCTGAAGATGGCTGTATAACTGATGAAGTGACAATAGACAACATTAAGTTGCCTAAACAAAAGGGAAAAAAAGGCAAAATAGAAGTTTTGGACAGCAAAGTGAACGAGTAAATCCATTTTATTTTACTTTAAAAAAATCTTCAACCTAACAACCAAATTGCGTTTTCTAACTTTGAAGACTTGGCCTTTGAAACTACCTTGTCTGCCAGTGTAGCATCCCTCAGGATCATGTGAAATGCCACCGTTTACGCAGTGGAGAATTCAGGATCCACTCATGGCTGAGGCAGGCTGGATTTCTGAAGAATTAAGTACGGTTTTCTTCATCAAACAACATGGAAATGAACTTGATAGTAGGTTAAACTAAGAAAGCAGCTGGAATTTGGGGCACTTTAACTGGTTAAAATTCTTGTTCTGTTGCTTTGTCGAAGAAAGATTTTTGTGGTGTGCTAGAAGTCATTTTTGCTTCAAGGGCAGAAAAGAGTTAGCTAGGGAAAAAGCTTTGTTTTTTATGTTTCATGTCCTGAGAAGTGTTAATGTACAATGTCTTCAATATTAAACATCATCTTAAAGTGCACGAGAGGTATGTCTGCGTGGCGTTGGTGACAGTAGCTGTGGTGTGGGTGAGGACAGCCGTGGCCTGAGGGCGTTCAGCAGAGGATCGCCTACCCTCTGCACCTGCACTGGGCTCCCTGTGGCTGCGGTAGGTTACCAGCTCACCTACGGGATGTTTGTGGCTGTAGTGCGGATCCCCTCAGTGGTCACATCTGCCTCTGTGGTGTTGCCAGTGTTACAGTTCCTTTAAGCTACACTTTGCATCAGGAAGAAGTTCTTCCCGGAGAGGGTGGTGAGGCTCTGGAACAGGTTGCCCAGAGAAGCTGTGGATGCCCCATCCCCATCCCTGGAAGTGTTCAAGGCCAGGCTGGATGAGGCTCTGAGCAACCTGGTCTAGTGGAAGGTGTCCCTGCCCATGGCAGGGGGATTGGAACTGGATGGTCTTTAATGTCCCTTCCAACCCAAACCCCTCTATGATTCTGTGATTCATCTCCCACTTTTCCCTGACATGTTTGTCCTCTCCGTTTTCTAAGCAACTGTCGCTGCCAGAAGAATAAAAAGGTGCATCTTCAGCTGGCCTGTACGTAGGTTACTTTGGCACAACTCTGAAACCAAAATTGGTGAAAGATGTCTGATCCCACCCACCTCAGATTGATAAGATAGAGTAATTTGGGCTGTTTTATGTACTTCATTCATCGGTTTGCATTTCAGAAGTATCTGTTGTGCTCCTGGATGTCGTTTTTTTGTTAAAGGGACTTTGTATTTTCTACCCCATTAAAGTAAAACTTTCTAGACTGTATTTGCTCAAATATTAAACATAACGTCATGACCTGAAACCTGTGGTAACTTACAGAATTTATTTTGAATCCCATACTTAAAGCTACAGTTTTAATACCTGTAATTTCTGTAATATTTCTGATAAGAAATTACAAGGATTCTGGTTTGTCTTTCACAGTGTGGCTTCTTAAAAATCAGATGGGGGCATGACTTACAGGGCTTGACTGATTAAACCACGAAATACTTCAGCAAAGGGGAGGGATGGGAGTCAAAGAATGAGACTGCTGCTCTTAATGGCAGCTGGCAGATCAGATTAAGCTTTGGGTGGAGTTGCACTCTTAAAAAGAGCAAGTGGTCTTAGTGGACTTAATTTGTTGGAGAAGGTCTTAATCTATGGAAAATTTTCTTCAAACCAAAGAAAGCTTGAAAGCCAATACTTTAACTCATCTTTTTGCAAGAGATTTTCCCCTGCATTTTGAAAAAAAAAGTAAATACAAAGTAACATGCGTGCTGTAAAAATCAGTGATAATAGACCACGTGCACAGACACAAAAAGTGATTTTAATCCGCTAATTAACCACCTTGCAGCTTGCAGGCAGATCACGCATTCTGTATCAACAGAAAGATAGAAAATATTTCCAGTAACTTCAGCTGATGTGCATAGTTTAACGCCGCCGTCGAACTCTGTATGTACTATACAAAGATCATGGTAAGTGCACTTCCTTGTCTGGATTTACTTGTATGGCACAAAGGTTTTCTGGTCTGCTGAAGGATCATCCGGGCAGAATGTTTGGTTGCTACTGTGAAACTTGCACCGGTTTATAGCAAAAAATGGCATAATCGGTGTATTTTAGTTCAACTTTCAGGGAAGCCTAATGACTAAGGACTTAAAATGGTTGTGTAAATACCTTCACACAAACAAGAAGTAGGCATGTAGAACTCATTCTTCAGCTGTATTGAAAAAAATAAACTGAGCCATGTCCTTGGGGTTTTTTTCGGGGGGACTGTGCTGACAACTGCTGCTGAGTAATTTAAATAACTTCAGGTTAATTTCCAAATGCTTTTAGCTGTCAGCGAGACTGAAATTTGGACCTGATTTATAGAAAGGTATCCACGGAACAGGTGTTTTGTTTTGGGGTTTTTTTCAGGTGCAGCACTGCAGACAGCATATCCTGGGCACGGTATTGAGTGCTTCATGGAGTCATTAAGGTCGAAACTGTCAGAAGTTTGCTTTCCACATGAAGCTGTTCAGTATTCCACAGTGATAGCCTTGGTTCGGAGATACTCATGAAGGGCTTCTTCACCTGCACAAGCACAATACTCACCAGTTAGGATAGCAGCTAAATGGGAGAATGTTGTCAGAGACTGTTAGTAAGAAAAAAAAAGTGCTCTAGCCAATGTTTGGGTCCATAAGGAAAAAGAGAAACTAATTAACTTCCCCTCCCACTGGGATTTACAGAACTGGTTTGGCAAGAAGAGGCCAAACCCAACAGAAGTGGAAAGAAAAGGGAGCTGGGGTTTAACAAGCCGCCGCCTGGGTGGGACGGAAGCAGCGGCAGTCTCCAGATGGGCACCGGGGCTTGTAGCTGAGCTTGTGAGCTTTGCCTGTGTTAATGCTTCAAGGTAAAGAAGCTGTGTAAAAATCAGTAATCTTTTTTTCCTGATACTTGCTTTCAAGACATGCGTGACACTCGCTAGAGATTTCGAAGGCAAAAAGATGCTGTGTCAGTGAGATTTTGTTTGATTCATTTTTCTTTGCCACGAGGCTCGATCTGCCCAGACTTGTAAAGTTTCTTTGACAGGCCAGACCTCGCTTTTCTAAAAGCTGGTTTCGAAAAGATAAGGGTTTTTTTTTTTAATGCGTTTGTCTCTGTGGCTCTCGGCAAATTTTGATGAGATTTGAAGGCATAAAAATGTTTCCCGTGCTCTTACAAGTTAGAGAAGCCTAAATCCTTTCTGAAGGGCAGAAGCTCTTGGCCAGTACCTTTGCTACTTAACAGCGTTTTGCGGCCTGTACGCAGCTCCGGACAGGCTGTAGTTTGGCTGCTCTGAGGAGCTGGGCAGGAATATTCCGCGTGCCAGAGCATTATTTACAAATGTACTGGAAGGGCTGAACTGGAGGGGTTGAGGTGGGAGTCTTCCAGGGATGGGAGAGAAATCAGATTGCTGTAATTGGAGGAATGTGGGAGATGCAGGAAATGCATCCGTGGCTCACATTTTACCAGATGCACTGCACACAGGTAAGGTGGCTTTGGGCTGTCAGGTGGGGAATGGGGTGGGGAGAGAACAACTTACCTAAATCTTTCCCAAAGCCGGACTGCTTAAATCCACCAAATGGTGCTGCCACATCGGTTTTGTTATATGTGTTAATAAACACTGTTCCAGCTTCTAGCTTTTCGCTGATGTAGAGTGCTTTGCTTATGTCTTTTGTGAAAACTCCCGAAGCTAAGCCATATTCTGTGCTGTTTGCCCGTCGCAGCACTCCATCGACATCCCTACGGGGGAAAGAAATGATTTGATTGCAGCTAGGTAAAGCAAACGAGTGGTGGCAACCTTCCACCTTCAGTGTCATTGAAGCACCTTTTGCCATGCCCTTTCTTCTCCAGTCAGCTTTTTTGGAGACAAGTTACTAAGGACCAACCTGTGTGTCAGCCTCGCAGATCTATGGAAATTCGTAGCCTTGTTTCAAACGTGCAAAGCTTGTACCCGTGCATCTTGGGGGTTAAGGTCTACGCTAAGAAATGGCAAAGGAAAAACTGCAGTTGGCACACCAGCTTTGCTCAGCTGCAGCACAACGTGGGGATGAGAGCAACACAGAAGTACTTGGAAAGCAGAGCCTGCCAGCAGATTATGAATGTTTCCTAAAAATTTGGCCTGCTTTGCAAGTTAATGGAAAATAAATGCTGAAATTCAGACTCGTCGAGACACAGCTTTTCAGGCTGTGTCCAGAGTGCTATTTCCTAGTTGCACCTCATCTCCATGTAGCTTCAAAAATCCGTAACAATTTAAAACTTTAAAAACCGTAGCACGGTCCCTTATCACCGTACGTAATTTATAGGTGGGAAGGCTTATCTATGTGGCTGGTTCTTATCTACGTTATCAAACTGCAGAAAATGAAACCAGGTGGAAATTGTGATATGAAGTTCCCACATAGGGTTTTAATCTCTTCTGGGTGTCACACAGTTCTTAAGATTTGGAATGAAAACTGGCAATCTACAAAATACAGATTTTCATTTGCAACGGTAACGCGCCAACATTACACAATGAACAACGACGCTATGCGGTCTTTCGTGACAGAGAAAAATGAGCGATTCCTCTCGAAAAAATACACATTTTGTAATGTGATTCAGCTGTTGCAATTACCACGTCACCTTCAGTGAAAACGTTTCGCCGAATACTAAGCCTGATTTAAGGACTGGCACGGCTGCATTCTGTCCTGTCACACGCTGCTAATAGCATTAGTTCTACGTCGACGTGGAGCAGGGTGGCCCCTACTAAAAAGGGTGTTTTCTCAGAATTTAGCTGGCGGAGGATCTAGGGATTCGGACTGGTCTTATAAGACTTAAAATCATACTCCATAAGCTACCACTTCTACACTTAGGGTGAAAACAAGTTTCTAACAGCAACCAGAGGAGAACATACCCATTTTTAAATTTAGAAATCACCATCACAGGACCAAAGGACTCTTCCTGGGCAATATACATATGGTCTTCAACATCTGTGAATACAGTGGGTTCCATGAAGAAACCTAAGCAGAGGATAGAGCATCATTTGAGCCTGGCGAAATTACTTCATGGTTTGTATTGTCCAGACCATCTCTTTTCCACACTTTGAGGTCATAGATGCATTAAGACTTGAAAGAGCAAGTACCAATATTGATGTGAATAAAGTGTGAATGGAAATGCAAGTGTGTAAGCGCCAGAGAAACAGCAGAGAAAAGGTTAAAAGGACGGCCTGTATTGATCAGAGCTGAATGCTGTTCCCTGCCAGGCCAGAAGGACTTCGTGCCACAGCCCAGGGGACTCCGCCAGGGAAGTCCCTGCACTGACAGCAGGAAAACAAGGCTGCAGCATGTCACAGGGGCCACTGTTTTTCTTGTTACCTAACAAGAAGATAGCCATAAAGATCTATATATTCCAAATAAGGCAAAGCATGCAATGGGCAGCAACTTCGCCTAAGATTTATGGGTGCTGAAGTAACAAAAATTCTGGGGCAAAGGACCATCTCATAATGACTGTTCATGTCTGAAGGGTGTAAAGACCTGGCTAAAAGCTCGCTGACCATTGCCAGTCAAGACTTGTCCTGGTGTTATACACAGGCAATCCTGGTCACCTACACCTTGGGGAGTGAGTGTATTGCAGTTTGAGTGCGTAAAATCAACTCCAGAGATTTTATAAAAATGCTGCCCTCCCCCCCCCCAAGAGTTTCCATTTAGTTTTGTTACACAGATTTCGTGTAGTTATGAATCCCCACTTCCATTTTATTTAGGGATGCAATCATTTTGTTTTGAAACCCTGACGCAAATGCTGCTTCTTCAGTGTTGAAAAAGGACAGATGTCCATGAGAAAATGTTGCTTCCATGCCTGCCCACTAAACTTAGCTACTTAAACATAGCTAAAAAGGCTCTTGATAATAATACGTTATGCCAACTCTGCTAGTAGCTTCCTCAGTCGGATTTAGCGTTAGTGTGATCTAAATGGCTATAATTATGCTTGTGGCTCTTGACAGTTCAAGGGTGTTGCAAAAAAAGCCTCAATGCCCCATAACCACCAGGAGTAAATGAGCAAAAGATTACAGACTAGGTTCTGATCCAATTTCATACGTTGCACTTCAGTTGCACAGCTTCTCCTAATACGGGGCTTGAAAGCTCTGTTCTCAAGTGGTATCTTGGGCTTACCAGGTACTGCTCCCATGATACTGCTACTTCACAAAGTGCAGCAGAGACAGTCATGATGGCTTTTGATTGAAGTGTAAAAGTTCCAAAGACCTCTGAATGGTGTTTTACCTGGTCTATGTACTTGTCTTCCTCCATACACTAGAGTGGCTCCTTCTTTTACTCCAGTTTCACAGTATTGCAGCAGCTTTTCCAAATGTGCCTTGTGATTTTGTGGACCGTGATCTGTAGATCTATCAAGTGGGTCACCAATTTTCATCTTTTTAATCTCTTCCACCTATGGGTTACCCAATTAAAATGAAGTTACATAAGGTAGCAAATGTTATTTGGGATGCTTCATGTTTTTGTGCTGTGAACTTAGGCTATGGCAAAGGACTGGATTCTTAGAGGGTAGAATGCTTCTTCCTTTCTAAAATGAGGCTTTGTCTTATGTTTGATAATCTCTGGTAACTTCTGAAAGTTTTTGATGCTGTTTTCATGTAGTCATTCTCTTCTCCTATTAAGATAGGCATATAAAATGTTAGCTTTTACCAGTGGTACATGAGTTATGGCAGTGATTTCCTGTTCTTGAGCTAAATAAATAAATTCTCCAGTGGTACAGTGTGGTGACTATTGGATTTTTAATAATGACCTTTGTGTGATTCTAGCCACATGTCCAATATGCCTTTTCTAAAAACTTCACAGCAACTTTCAATCACATTGACCTAAGTTCAGTAATTTTTTTAATCTTACTTTCCTAGTCGAATATGAAATATCACTGAAGGTACAATCTATATTTCAATGTCACTTATCTGTGCATGACTGATGAAAATATTCCCCTTCAGTGCCTGCCTTTTAACCCTCTAAGAGGTTCCTGAGAAGCAGCATTGCCTATCATAAGCAGTAATGAGAAATTAAACAACTGAAAATAAGGAAATGCAAGTTTCTATAAAACCAGTGGGTATTTGTGTCATAGTGAAGTATCTGCTTAAACTTTAGGCCTTGAATATCTTACCACTTTTCTAACAAATTCATCATGGATTGATTCTTCCACGAACAGCCTGCCAGCTGCAATGCAGTTTTCTCCTTTGTTGAAAAACACTGCTCCCATACCCTGATCAGGGAAAAAAACCATTAATATTTCTATGCACCCTTTTGTTCAGTCTCCCTTTCATTCTGTTCCCTTGGGTTGCATCCTGTGTCTGCAACCCTCAAAGCATAGTGCTTTATGTAAAGGGACATCATCAAGGCAACACGCAGACTACTCTTGCAACTGGCAAGCACACTTCCACAGCGGCAAATGGCTCAGGACAAACCCATTAGCACTGCTCTTGCCATTTCCATCAGCCTTCCACAAAAACACCTGCTGCAGCATCACAACAAAGGGGGCTGGCAGCACAACCAGCGAGCATGAACTGTACTAAGCCCCTGAGCCATACTGCTTGGGTCAAAAGTTACAACCGGGTGAATATTACTAAGTCTCATCTGCAGGCACCCTCCTGTTTCAAGAGTGCGGATTCAGACTTCATGCAGTTTGTTGCTTTTTATTTAGCAAGAACTGATACCAGGCGGGTAGGGAGGTGGGGGAAGGAAGAGCAGGGCAAATGAAGTCCCTAAAAAGTAGTTTTCTGGCAGCTGTGGAAGCCTAGGGTCCTGGCATTACTAGGTATGACTGGAATCACGTGCTAGTGTGAAGTGTGTGGCAAAAAAGCGTTGTTTCACGATCATTTAAAGCCATCAATGCCAGGTATAGCTCAGGCCAACCTCTGTGGCACCCCCTTCTACAGCTGAGAACAGTGGTGGGGCCAAGCAGTGTGCTGCCGGCGAGGTTTCAGCTTTTATTGTTTCCCGTATGTATTTCCCTGTGCGGTCACCCAGGCACTTGTCCTGCCAAGAATGGGAAAGTGTATAATAGTTTCTTCCTGGTAGCAGAACCTGCTTGTGCTGGTTTAGAGAATTCACAGAATTAGCCCTTTGCGTAAACACAGTGTGGAAGACCTTTGTTTGCTTCTTAGTGAGCAAAATGCACTTGCTGTCATTTTGATGAATCAGATTACCTGAGCAGGGAATAAGCTCCTTAAATCCATTGAATTTCTCACTTGCACATCTTATTTATGAACCTGAAACACATTATGGCTGGTTGGGAAGGTGGATTTTTATGATTGATAGTCAATTAAGAACTATATGGCAAAAGGGAGCTCAATGTATATTTTAACTCACTTTTAAGCTTTTATTTTTTATTTTCCCCAGTATCACACTTTCACAAATCGATTCTAATGTGTTAACTTGGCTACTGAAAATACTTTTCAGCTGTATTTCTTTGTTTTGTTGTATTTTCTAACATGTATCTTTTGCAGTACTGATCCCTGCCTTTTGGGGCAGCATAAGCACCTTAACTGTGCTGGCATAAAGAAACATCCTGTAGAGTCTATTTTCTAACAGACTGCATGATTTTTCGTGCAAGGGCTCCCTACTGCAGTTTTTGGCAAGTCAAGAAGAATACTGCAATACTTTGAGGATGTAGCATACAACCTTTGAATATATTTACTTAGAAGTAACGTTACCATTTTTACAGCTCTGTCAAGTTCACAGTCACTGAATATGATCAGTGGTGATTTACCGCCGAGTTCAAGAGAAACTTTCTTCAGATTAGTGGCTGCGCTGTAAAAAAATATAAATAATCATATAAAACCAACTTTTAAATAGCTTATTTCATTATTTCCTTTGAATCACATCTACTGAAAATGTATAAACCTCTATTTTCCAACGGTGACTTAGTAGAGTACTACATAAATGTAAACATAGTTATGCTTTTCTATTACTGCTACGTGCACAGTATAGCTAACAAGAGACTTCAGGACTAGATTAAGCAGTGTTTACTTATGAATCTTTTGCTGAGAATACCTCTTCATGATCTGTTTACCAGTTGGTGTCGAACCAGTGAATCCGACTTTGCGGACATCTGGATGCTCAGACAGGTGCTGTCCCACCAATCCACCTATGGGGGTGAGGAAAACAGTTTAACTGAGCAGTACACAGGCGATTTTTACTACTCCAGCAGTAGCACTGTGACACAGAAAGAGCTAACAATTTGTCAGCCAGCTGTCCCACCAATCCACCTATGGGGGTGAGGAAAACAGTTTAACGGAGCAGTACACAGGCGATTTTTACTACTCCAGCAGCAGCACTGTGACACAGAAAGCTAACAAATTGTTAGCTGTCAGCCAAGTACAGCATCACATCCTTATTTCTATTTACAGCTTTTTTCATACAACTATGAAAAATCTCATATTAATTAACTTGGATCACATCAGTGGCTCCAAATTCCCCCATCTGTCTGGACTAAAGAACTTCTTTCCTAATATCCCACTGTAGGTGGAATAATCTAATTTGTAACAGAGCCTGCCCCATTCCAATTGCTTTGTCACTTTTCTTCCTTAGGGGAAAGAGGAGAACGGTGATATCAGGTAAGACGGTGTGGACCATGACTTACCTATAGTGACCAATTCACGTCTGACCAGCTTGCTTTAGGTCTCACACATTTAAATACTTGTGAGTGACAATACGATTAGGGGAAAATATGAAGTGAACGAGGCTTTGAGCAACCTGGTCTAGTGGAGGGTGTCCCTGCCCATGGCAGGGGGGTTGGAACTGGATGGTCTTCAAGGTCCCTTCCAACCCAAACCAGTCTGTGATTCTATGTTTCTCTGTAATACATTCTTTTCCAGACTGTTCATGTTGTTTGTTTGAACTTCTGAAATGTGTAGGCTGACAGGTCTAACCACTAGTTAGAGCCAAGGGACATACAGATTTTTCCAACTCTGTTCTGGAAATACGTGAAGTAGCTGTATGACACAGCTGCGCACCTACTACCTATGAAGATACGTGCACTTAACTAACAGGCCTTCAAAAAGGTAAAATGCTGGTTCACCAGCTTTAGCATGACCTACTCTTGCCAGAAAAAATTATTAGCTGAAGATTTACCTGAACCAGGCAGAATATTTATAACACCCTTAGGAAATCCAGCTTTAGCTGAGAGTTCTGCAAACTTCAAGGAAGTCAGAGGTGTCACCTAAGTAGAAACATTTAGATTAGGTCACATATTTTAATTAAATGTGTGATGATATATTTTATATTCAATACATCTCTATTTTGATAGAATATTCATCTTCTTACTCACAGTATTGACAAATTAAAAGTGATGGCTTCTTGGAGAAAAGAATTCATTCTTGAAAACGAGAGTAGCATCAGAGCACAATTGAAGACCATCAGTAACTTGTTATCATCACGGCAATTTGTATTACTATACACGCTCTTTAAAACATATAACATGGTGAACCTATGGGTACATATGACAGGGAAACCTATGGGTGAAATCCCCTAGATTGTCTGAATTATTTTGCCTGAACAAATTGTAGAGGACCTGAGTTATAGGTACGTTCCTTTTTGCTTTTACCTGCGCTGGCTTGAGTACGAGTGTGTTGCCTGCAGCCAAGCATGCTGCGCTCTTCCACGCAAGCATCATCAGTGGGTAATTCCAGGGGATAACAATTGCACAGACACTTTAGGTAGGGAAAAATGGGGAAAGATTACATTTTTGATGGCAGCTTTTGAATGGCTTTTCTGTATTTCAAGGCTGTCACTAAGAAGAAAAAAGTGATACTTACCCTATTGGCTCTTTCTTGGTGAATGTTAGATTATGGTTTGGCCGTGCCTGGTTAATTGGAATTGTAGCACCCTAAAAGACAGAGGAGGGACAAATCTTGCTACTGTTTAATCATTTTTTTATTACAAATATATTTGCCATGTAAGGATGTTTTGGAAAGCCACAGAGTAGGCTTCAAAACAAGAAGCATTTTTGCAGCAGAGAAGGGGGCAGAGATGCTTCTACTGTATGATTTCCTACTATGGATACTGTAGCTGAAAACGCCCTGTTTTCAGTTGGATGAAATAAAAACATGGATAACAAAAGCATGGAAGAACATAAAGTGAGGATCTGATGGACAATGAAAAGATGAATGATATTCTTGATTGTGGATTTTAAAGATACTCGAGGAGAGGCTGTTGAACCTGTGCCACATACTCTGCCATCACGCGAAATCACCAGCCTTGGTCAGAGCGTAACATAGCACGAGTCCCTGCTCTTACCCGCACAATGACCACAATGACTTTCTGCTCCATGAATAATCAAGAGCTGACTAAGCATGCACATCCACTGGGCACCTCAACTGATTTCTTAGAAATTTAGAGTCACATTTTAAATCCATATTCTACAGTTGGAAGCAGACTGTCCTTTTTGCTAAGGAGACCCATTTTAGGCGCAATTCTATTTTTGCTTAATTTTTTGATTCCTTGACTACTTTTGCTAACACTTGCTTTTTGGTACTGTGTCAGCAAAAAACCAGAACAAAACCTGCAGAGAAGCCCTGCCGTTGATTATTTCTTTTTCATATTCACTTGCCTGAATTTTGTCACACCATCCAGCAAAGTATCTGAATGTTTGCACAGACATTCCAACGTGGGTCTTCAAAGCTAAAGTGTAGACAGCTCCCGAGTCAATAGACTCTATTGTTGCTAACTCTTCTTGATGTTCTTCCATCAGGTCTGCAAGTCTTTAATAGAAACATTACAAATCCATGTCAAAGAGAAGTGACATCTATCCACTGAGAGCCTAAAATTATGTTTGTTATGGCAACAAACCGTAATTAAAATAGTATTCCCAAGAATTTGGAGGTGGAGTACTGGAGCCACTGCTCATTAATATCAGTAAGATCTTGAACAATTGCCTGTTGAAGTCTGCAAATGTCTTCACATTGGCTAGAGTAGACACTGGATGAGGACATAAACTATGAAAGCTTACCTGATTGTTCAAGTATGGTCTTGCAAATAAATTAATGCTTAGAAAAGCTGTACTCTTTTTCTGTTCTGCTACAAGGAGTCGATTATAGAAAATCAAACCAATAAGTCAGAAAGGAAATACACAATAACATAAGAAATGTCAAGTAATCAAAAGTACAACGAAGGAGTACTTTGGATCTTAGCTTAAGATATGAGGGAGTGTTGTGGTTTAACTCCAGCTAGCAAATACCACATCATAGCTTCGTAATACTGTTTTCTATTGTCTGAACTTGGACTAAAATACTTAAATGTTGGACCTTTCAAAGGCCCCCAGATGTCCAAAGACAGAGCTCCTAAGCTGTAATGCAAAATGAATTTTATATGCCTTGGTACATTTGAAAATCTGGCTCACAGTCTCCTTGGGCCTCAAGTTCTCCAACTGTTATATTTATGAAGTAACACAGTGAGATATAAGAAAGACTGTGGTAAAAATTATTGAATTAATAGTAGGTATCACTGTCTCAAAAATGTATCTGCACAGACAGATACTTATGAGGAGCTCTTGTAATTTTAGTGGACCCCTGCTTGGTCAGAGAGGTCTGTTTGCAGGAATTCATTTTTACATTCAGTCTTAGATCCCTCACGTGGCAGTGAAACAGATGCATCATGTTTTTCTTAAGCTTCTGTCCGTGTTTTCGTACTCAGACATATAATCAATGCTCCTGTGTGACTTTAAGAGCTTAACCAAGTGCATTTTTGATCTTGTAATGAGTATTCAAAGCTGGATGTGAAACCTATTTTCCATTATGTAGTTTCTGCCCATTTAAAGCATTTGCAGTGGGAAAATGCTCTTCAATACCTGTTTTAACTGTATCTTGGAGACCCAGCTACAGGTCAGGACATCAGCATTAGTGTGTAAGAGAATGGATATGGCATGTCAGGGACAAAGGAGAAGGTTCCATTCAACGCATGCTTAATATATTCTATTAATGATTTCTTAAGGCGAAGTAGCAGAGCTGGGGGCTTTAATGCTACAAACCTGCTCTTCAGTTCGGCACTCAAAATCTCTAGTTTGAACAGAGGCCAGAGAAAAAGGGGCTTTGTTTGAATTAAGGGGGAACAGAGAGAGCCTTCGTTCATAGTGGGAATGGTTTGCAACATAAACATTCTGGTACAGCTATCTTAGAGAGCCAGTCACAGGAACAGAGAAGAGTTTAATCCAGGAATGATCTATGCAGTGTAGGGGAGTTACATTTTCCATATGCCTAACACAGTTACTCTTGCAAATCTTGTAAGTGGAAAACACAGAGCAGCAGTTCTTAGACCTTAAAAGTTTCTCTTCGGGACAGAGTTAAGTCAGGCTCTCAAGCACTCTACATTCCTAATACAAATTAGACCCAAGTTTGTACATGCTTTGAATCTGTGCGCATTTGTGAAAAATGTAAATGATCAACTGGATTTAATGTAATGTAAGTTCTGACTTGCCCATTTTCTGCTGTGATGACTACTCAGCTTTTTGAGAGTCCTACAGGCCTTCTTCCAAGAACACATACTTTATGACACGCAGAATTTTCAGGTTTGCTTTTGTTCTCTTTTGCTAAGATGCCTACAATGTCTTGTAAAACGTGGCATTTTTTAATACTTTGGTTTTAATTACGTGGTTCATAAGGATACGCTAAAAGAGGAGAGGGGAATTTACATCCAAAGCATTCAACAAAGTAAAAAGTCTTACAAGTATATTAATGTGATAACAAATGATCTGCTGCATACACTACAGCAGGAGACAGACACATGCTGTGCAGAATGTTATATTTCCCTCATTCCACTTCCTTAGCTGTCAGAGCACAGACATGGAATGGATTCCCTACTCCTTCCTGTCTTTCTAGGTTAAACCCTTATGAGGACAGGGTCATCTCCTAGTTGCCTATTCCAAACCTCTGAATCAGATGGACAGTTCTTCCACAGCAGACCATAACACATCTCCTGGAGTGGGTCTTCAGCTAGGTGAGAAGTATGATCGGATACAATCCAGGAAAATCTAGCATTAGTTACAGTCTATTTCAAAATTCATGGCAATGTGATTGTATGTTTACTGTACGAAGTGCAGATGCAGGCAGGCTTCGCAAGAACAAAAGTCTTTGCCTACCTATCCTAGATAGGCTTTGCCTCTATAACTTAGCCTCATTTATACAGAAGGATTTGCACTTTACAAGGGAATTTTCAATCCTTGCAACAAAAGCCATAGAGATAAAATGAAGCCATCAAGTATTTAAAATGTTTTCCTCAAATTATTTGTTTCCATTCATAAATAATAATTTAAAAAATTGTTGCAGTGAGAGATCACAAGACTCTTCTCTGACATAAGAAGTTAGCCAGCTAAGACTGGAGGCTGGTAAACCGAAGTAAATTAGGGGATGAAATCTTGACACTGGCATATTCAGAAAACAGAATCATAGAATCACGAAATCGTTTGGGTTGTAAGGAACCTCAAAGACCATCTAGTTCCAACCCCCCTGCCACGGGCAGAGACACCTTCCACTGGACCAGGACATATGCAACAATTCTTCAGAGGGACAAAACATTAATATTAAAGAAAATGAAACAAACACAGGCTGTCTTTTACATACCTGTACATGAGTCTCCCTTTTTTTTCCCTTGCATTCATTTTTCCCCATTCACCATTTTCAAACGCCTCCTTTGCTGCTGCCACTGCCTTGTCAACATCAGCCAACGAAGCAGAAGATACACTGGCTATTACCTGTCCAAAGGTAGCATTCTGTTAGTGCAAACTGAAAGGCTGGGATGCAGTGTTATTCCTTCCTAAGCTTCCGGACTGGGTATGAGCAAATACTGAACATTTTCAACACCAGCAGGTGTCATGGGTGAGTCAGGCTGCAGAAAGTTAAGGCACAACTGATGTACCAGAATTCTGAGGACACTGCAAGGTCTCAGATTCCTAGATCTTTCTTCTTCTTCCAGTGGGTGCATTGTCCCACTGGATTTCACCCTCTCTTTTCATATATAAAATCAATGTGATATTACAAAAGTTGGAAGTCTTTGTGTGTGGTATTACAATCTAATATCTGAGCATGCTAAAATGACTTCCACACGTTCCACTTCATAGGAGTGGAGGTTCTGTTACCACGAACCACCATATGAACCCACAGTATTTTATGATGATTGTGTTCTACAAAAATACACATTGTAAATCCCAATACAGAATTGTTGTAACTTGTATTCCATTCCATAATGAGTTTCAGGAAAAGTACCAGAGTCTGACGATAGTGAAATTTGTGGCATTGATTTCAGCAGAATGTATTTACTCCAGAATTAAATAGCAATTACATGGACATCTGAATCACTTCTCTTATTTATAATTCATAATTGTAAGTTGCTCAACCAAGATTCAGTAGTTCAGAACTGAAGTGCGACTGTAGGTATTTTCCTACTGAAAATTCATTTTTCTTAGTGGGAATTTAAAGGGATGTTTTAAAGTCACACTAGCCCTAAGGCATCAGATTTGTAAAAAAAGTAAAATGAAATGCAGTTGATGAAATATAGGAAATATATAAAGTATCCTAACAGAAATACTTCTTTAGCAACTAAACTTCTGCAATTTTTTTCAAAGCTAAGCAAGAATGAAATCAAGGTAAAACATAAAGCTGAGTGTGGAAGCTGATGTAATAGTTGAAGTGGAAGTAGGTTATTTTTGCTGAGCAGCTTGACTGAAATGGGAAAACTGTAGAATATACAAAATAAGAAGCAAACTGAAACTTCAAATTATTTCTAGAGGTTGTTTAATGTGTACTGTATGGGTTTGAAATTACCAATATTCGCTTAATGGTTTAGATTTTTTAACAGGCAAATAAATTGAAATAAACTGGTATTGGTCATGGTTGGAAATTACTTACTGATCCATCTGCTGGATTTACAGTGTCATAAGTTTTTCCATCATCAGCATTTATAAATTGCCCATTTATGAAACACTGGTATGGCATATTCACAGTCATGTTGTTCACATTTTTTGAAACCTGAATGAAATAAATAATAAATTAATTTTAACTGTTGATAACTAAGGTTTTAATGTAGCTTAAGAAGCTTTTGATATCTGCAGCCAACATCCAGATGCATTTTACCATATACATATGGCTGTTAGGAGTGGACAGGAGAATAAAATTAAATGGAAATCATATTGTCCCTGAATACTGATGGCCACACTCTGAGATAGGTAAGCAGATTTCTGTATTATTTATCACTGGATCTCTATGTTCAAACCAATACTAAACTCTGGTTAAGGCTGGTCTTAGTGTACTTCAGTCAAATGCGTAATTCCCAAATTCAAGAAATCCTGACATGATTAATGACTTCAAAAACCCCACAGAATCCTCCTTTCACAGAAATTTTTTGAACCGATTCTTAGGAGAAAATCTAGCACTGTTTGCCTCAGGATAGGGGAAGGTCTAGAACCATCCTGACAGAAGCATACTCGTAGGACAGTGCAGGGAGGTAGGAATATCTGCCTGTGTGAGCTACTCTACTGCATCTTCTTGATCTCCTGGCTTCTGCAACACCATGAGTAACATTACATATTTCCATTCCAAAATGCAAATATATAAAAGTTGCCAAAAAAAAAAAAAGGTCACAAAGAAGAGTTTGTATGACCAAATATTTGATTGCTTTTCCTACTGCATCAAGCAGTTCAATAAAATGCATTGTCTATGCCCCCAAAACCAATACATTCTAAAGAATAAAGGCAGAATAAAAGGTCTTACATAATCAATGACTAACTCGTCTTCTTTGTCTTCTCCTCTGAATTTCCTGACAGCCATTTGAATAAAATCTGCAAACTTGGTGGCCATATACACATCTTCATTCTGTAGTTGAAGTCCACTATATTTCTGCTTGATCTCTTCTAACATTCTAAAGATTTTGAGGAGAGAGTAAGTTTAATTACAAAAGAAAGAATCCTTCAGATAAGTGAATCATTAGAAGGTCAAAAAGGATCAAAACTGGGCACCAGTTTATACGTATGTGAATGTGTGTGTGATATTCTGATGACAATGGCACAGAAGTTGTGCATTTTACTGGAATCTCTTGGTTTAATTGGACGTGTTATGGAAAAGAAAATGTCAGTTCTGGAATATTCTTAAGTATTCTTTGGAAATAATGACAAGAATATATTGATTGATAAACTAATATATGGGACTACTCTAACCAATACATGGAGGACATTCAGAGCTTTATGAGACTGGTACGTAATAAGGACAATAATCAGTTAGGTTAAAAAACATCTGAAATGCTGCTTTTATTTTATGGCCTGGAATATCTGAGTTGCAAAACTAAGGCAACTGAGATGACCCAACACAGGATGAAAGGCTCCGCTTTCCCTCTGGGGCTCAGCTTCCCAATCAACCCCCTGGTCATGACCTGTCACTGCATGCAGACAAGTTCGAGCATCACCATGCTCCCCCATGTGGTTGATATTCCTGAAGTTAAGGGAAATTTTCTTTCAGTAGAAAGAGCAGGATTACGTCAATATCTCCTAATTTTGAGAGTAGAACTATAAGACGTTTTCAAAAGTAGGAAAAGAAATAGAGTATTGGAAAATATAGGGGAATTTTTTTTTCTAACACTACTTGATCAACCCTGATTTAAAAGCACAACGACAACTTTGTTTCCATTAATTTCAAAATGTTGTTATCTTGAATATTTTTTACCTGACAACATGCATAGAGGATGCTCCAGATTTGAAGAAGTCTGTGGAATCCTCAATTACAGCAACATTGCTCAAAATTCCCTTCCAAATTGCCTAATAATACATGAAAACAAGGGAGACAATAATGATTAACCAAATTGCAAGAAGTATTTATTAAACCAAATTTGCTGTGGTATCTGTGCCTACAACATGTATTATTGCAAAGGATTCTAAACCAGAAAATTATTTTAAGGGGGTCTAGAACTGTCTAGAGACCTGATGTTAGCCAATAAATTCTTCAGCATAATTATGTTATCCAAATATATTATTTTGTCCATGATAATTTCACAAAATGGGGCAAGAAACCTGATGTACAATGCTAATAATTTTCAGGCCCATTTTTTTAAGATCTTTATCCTTCAGATAGTATCTTCCCATTGCATTATGAAATACGTCATCAGCAGAAGCAAGGACAACGGAGGACTTAGTGACTGGATTGATGGCGTTCCTGGCACCTGGGCAGAGCTGAGAAGTAGTTTAAGCTGCATGCATGAGATGGAGATGCATAGTGTAATAATTGGTAACATAATATTCCAATTAACTATAATCAGGTTTCAGAGTTAGCAGGTAATGTCATGAACTGAAGAGTTTATATTTCTTTCAGCTATTGTCTCAGCCAAAGCTCTGGGCAGCATTTAGGTTGCTGGCAAACAGGTTCAAGGTCATCTTGAAGCAGCAGTTTAAAATATTAGTGCATCAAGCTGCCTGACCTGTGCCAGAAGTTATTGACCCTGTAGCAGAGGTAGCAGGAGGGAAGACACCTGTGATTCACTTGCTCTGGCACAAAACCTGAACGACGTGACTTTCAGGTAAGCCCCTGACACCCGCTACAAAGGGATGGATTACAGGAGAGGGTGGCAATGTGCTTCTCTGGGTGTGAGAGCTTTCTGCCCCATTGCTGCATCACCCTGCCAGCCAGCCCTTGTCTGTGGTTGTGGCAGAAGAGAGACAGTGCACACAGGTAGTGAGAAAACTGCTGCTTTTCTCTTTCAGACTGCTGTTCTAAGACTCCCTGGAACTTGCCCAAGAGGACCACTCTGAGCACATCCTGGTAACACAACCTCGTTGTTGTGAGGTGAAGTTCCATTTCTTTTTCTTCATTCCCACCTTCATTATTCATAAATATTTACCATAAATGACCCTGCAATCACTATCTTTGTATCACTGATATCTGAAAGAAAACTTTCTAAAATGAGGTGTAAGTACTCTAATGAATTCCCAATTCCACCAGAACTAACATCAATAACAACAGATTTAACCCCATGCTCTTTGAGTACATTTTATCAAAAACCAATTTGCATAGCTAAATAAAAGATATGCCTTGCTTATAATGAGAAGTATGGAATGCTTTTGTTTAAAGTAATATCCTACTAAAACAGTTTACTGATTTACCCTAATGTCTTCTGCCATCTTTTTCTCCTCTTCTGTAAGTTCCAGGGCAGTTGTTTCATCAGCAGAGAAGTATTTAGATGCAGGGATCATTTTTCCATCCTCAAACTGCAGATTTCTCACTAGTACCTGAAAAATGAGAAGATATGATTTTAAATTATCTCAGAGGTAACATCCTTGTGTGAAGAGTTTTTAGGCATTAATACTGTTATTGAAATAGTGAAATAAATGGCTTGCAGGAAAGCTGCTAAGATGCAGGTAATTTAACAGAGGCCACTCCTACCTGTCGTTCAGATTCTCTCTTAGTGTTAGTACATTTTAATCCATATTGGAAATGAATATGGATTGAGTGAGAAGCAAAACATTTATGTCTCCCCGACAGGATGGTAGAGGACGGATAAACTCCAAGCAAATTAGCTGTCTGTCATTAGCAGCTGCATTTGTATAGCCTGACAATTCCACACTACTTGCACTTCTTGCTAAAGTTATTCCACCCATGCTCATGATTGCCAGGGTGAGCACTTACCATCTTCCCATCATTACCAAAAACGACCAGACCATTCTTGGTTACAAGTCCAGGTCTTGAAGCACCTTTTATTGCCAGCTCTTGTCCAGCAGGCACTGAAGCATCAAGTAATGATGACCCATAAAAAGTAACCACCTAAAAATAAATGGAAATAAGAATGCGCAGATTCTAAACATGCTCTAATAATGAAATGATACTGTTTTGAAGCTTTAATGTAAGTAAAATATAATCACCTACACATGGAAAACATGTTACAACATTGTTTCTGTATCTTTACAACCAAGGACACGTTAAACTTTGCCAGCTGCCTAAATTTGCAAAGCTGCTTAGCTGCAATAATGTGCATGTTGGAACCAGTGCAGAAAGGGAAGCGGCTTTGGCCAGTGCATGCCGGGAGTGAGGGACTGGCAGAGGCCTGACTGTGACTGGTGGAGTCTGGCTCTGCTTCTGGGTTGGCAGTGCTGAATACTGACTCTCTCCTGGGGTCTTCTTTCTGGGATCTCAAATCAGCAACAGTTCCTGGACATTAGGGCAGAACCTGGCTTTTGGAGCAGCCTATCAGCAGACGGCTAATAGCTAAGCAACAAAATCTGGGTATCACACCCAGGAAAGGTAATGTAATTTTTAAAGTATTTCATGTAAGTAAAATGTGGATCAAATGTGTAGTACTGTTAATACACTGAAAGGAAGTAGTTGGTTTTGGATAAAATTATACAGATTTATTTCTGCCAATTATCTAGGCCCAAATCTCTTTAAAATAAAACCTTCTTTGTAATTTCAATAGCTCACCATGTTTCATTTTGCTCTTAATACTGTGGTGTTGCCCACTGTACAGCATGGGCTGCATTATAATGTGATGCCTGCCTACCTCCCCAAATGACTGGCTCAGTCTGGGGCTACCCTTCTTACTTATTGCTTTGTACCAAGCCCAATTACTTCTTTTTTTTTTTTTCCAGTTATTGGTGGTGTTTGATTTAAATGGATCTATGATTAAAAAATGAAATCTTAATAATCACTGTCTTCCGTACATTTGTTTAGGTGCCTGTTCTAGATATATGCAAAACATATAGTCATCAAATGAGAGCTGCCCCAGTGTAACTCTCACCTGTATTCACCTGTATGAAGATACTTTTGGCTTTAAAATTTAAAAAGATCAGAAGGAGGGTATAGGAAAGAAGAATATTCTTCTGTTTTTCAGAGCATACCTGGCCGTCTATAGTTGCCCATGCTCCAGGCACTTTATCATGCCCTCGAATCCAATTGTGCAAAGCTGCTGCAGGTTGGTCCCAAGAGATCTAGGAAATCAAGACATGCCAGCTAATTCCTCTCTGTTTAGATATAAACCAAGTTAGTAATGTTTTTCTATACAAACATTATAAATTCTCCCTCCTTCTCTTTTAAGCAATCATTTATTTAAGGACATAGAAAGGGTCTGGTCTAATAAAGAAAGGTCAGTGATCTGCAGATGGCTAATCATGAAAGACCCATCAAATGGGATGCTCTTAGCACTTCAGTGTTCTGTGCGGTCTATGCCTTTTCATAGATTCTCACACACTAATATAATGAAAATGTAACTCTTGTTACTAGGTATTCATTCATAAAAAACTAATATTATGATTAACAAATTTAATAAGCATGGAATAAATATAAATAAGCGTACGTTTGGGGTATCGCCTTCTGCTGAAAACGATCTATTTATTGCTTCAATCCTAAGTTCTTTAAGAAATCTACAAACTTTTATTGAAATATTTTCTAATCATTTACTAACCCTTCACAAATTGTTTCATAAATGGAATCTCTACTACAGTTTGCAATTCCTGCAAGTTTTTCAGGAAAAAGGAAATACTCTTTTAAGAATGTCATGTATATTTAGTATGTAACACCAGGAAAAGTGTATTCCTTTTCTTTGCACTATTGTGAGTATATGTACAAAATGAATTGAAGAAAGTATCAGAATAGCTATTCAATAACAAAACTCCCAGCATCCTTCTCAGTTTAACCACAAAGAATATTTAGAAGCAAGTTATAAGCCAATGAGAATAGCTTTACAGCAGAGAGACTGAGCTAGTTCACTTCAAGGAAGCTCCTTATATATTATATTAAAGAGAGAAATAAAAATATCCTTATGAAAGCTATTTGTTTCTAAGGTAAGTCAGGAATTGAAATATGATGGAAAGCATCACCTACAATATTTCAGGTGGAAAGGACTACATTCTCCATGGTCAAGAGCCTGAAGTTGTTGGAATAATTTTTTTTTTTTTAACTTTTGCACTGGTCTGGAAAAGGAAAAGAAGGTATTACAGGCAGCATTCACCATCATTTTATGGTGGCCTTCTCAACTATAAAGAAGATCCAATAATGTGGTGGGGGTGCTTATATAATTCTTATATGGGGGTTTAAATAATTTCTAATCTGTTGGGGTTTTATGTGACCTATTTTTTTTTTTTTCCTGATGCCAACACTTGCTTTTCCTAACATCAAATCTATTTCTGGTAGAGAATTTAGTGTGGACTGTTGGTAAACAAAAAGAACTATCTCCATTCAATGCCATACTTAAAAGTACAGTAACATATTAAGAATCCACTGAAGGTGCAGCTGCCATCTAGCTGTGTGTAGACGACCCCAAGTAGGACATCAAGTTTCTAAATATATGTAACTGCTGAAAGGGGATAGAACTTAACCTGGGATTTCATTACCTGCATTCTTGGAGTTATCTCAGGAATAAGAGGTGAGGAAACAACTGAGTTAAAATTAATGTTAACTTCATCTCACTATTATTGTAATCTGAGTTAATAACAACTTTTCTAGTGATATGCACTAAACAGTGTTATTTCACATTACCTCTGCATTTTCCTTTTTCTGGATCCCTTCATACGTTGCCCCTTCTTTAGGCTGAGGTATACGAGGGGCCTTACCGTCAGCAATTAGATGTACAGCTTCCACCTAAGTGAAAAAGTAACAGATGTGTTGTTAGGTTGGTTTGCCTCTTTTCCTCAGTCAAAAGACTTTCTGCCACGGGGGAACTGGTTTATTTTTAAAACTTAGTATTTCCAAAATCTAGGGGACCACTGCTGCACTAATTAGCATACATGTAAGCTTGATCTTTGACAAAAGAAATAGCCTCAGAAATGTGATGGGAGTGCCTAGTCACCAAACATACAGCAACTACTAAATTCTGCAGGACCAGAATGTGGCTCTGTTTGACTGCATTCAGCTCTTTCCTTTTTCTTTCTGCAAAAACTTATTCCTTTGCATTTAAACGGAGAGAGAAAAAACTTCTCTAATGATCCATGTTGAGTATTTTTATGCAAGTTATTTTCATCATTTTAAACCAATATGAAAAAGAACAGGCATACAAAATCCAAAGTCAATCTACCAGGACTCTGAAGTTAAAACACCACCCCGCTTGTTTTTAACCTCACCTCTAACTTTCTGCTCTCTCTGAGCCTTTAAAAAATTTCACATTGTAAAAACATTCAAGAAATCTGTGGAAGGAGATACCAGGCAAATTTGACTCCTTGTCTTCTGCGGAAACAAGATATGTTCTGCCCACTGCCATATAGAAATATTCTGAGGCCACCTCCTCAGCTGTCATGAAGCAGCACAGCTCCACTGAAGTCTAGCAGTCGGCTCAGCACCACAACCTCTGTCTTTCCAAATGCCTGCATCTTGTCTAGATTTCCTTTCCTTTCAAACTCCAGCATATGCTTTTCTTTTCCTCTTAAAATGTTTAAAATATTTACTACAGCTAAACATACCATAGCCTTTATTCCCTCTGGGAACAGAAACCGGTTATAGAGGTCATCCACAGTATCGTTCTGGCCAACATCACATTCTCGCTGCAGAAGGATTGGTCCGGTGTCCAAACCATCATCAGCCCAAAAAATAGTAAATCCTGCTTTCTTATCTCCTTGAATTAAAGTCCTGGACATAAAAAAAGCCTTACAGTAAATACAGACAGTACAAAAGTGGTCAGGGATATCAACTCGTCTGTCACACATTCTTTTACTTTAAGCAGACATAAAAGAAAATCCTAATCACCTTTAATACCCGTTTCATTGCTCATTTCATAGTCAGGAACCCACAGCTTTGATACTATTGATGTGTGGTTTCCACAAAGTGACATAAGAAATGCTACAACTGAATCCAGGGTGTCTGTCATGCAGTCAATTGTGATAATTATTTTAAAAGTATGATTAGTGGTAAGACACACAGAGCAAAAGGTGTGCAATAGTTATGGCCTAATTTGGAAGGTGGAAGCATCCAGACACCATACTATCTTAATTCATGGCTGTTTACTGTAATTAGCCAGGCCTCACAACTTATCTGTAGGTCAGCAAGGGAAGCACAGTTGTTGCACAGCTGAAAAAGAGCTGAACTCAGAGTGGAAAATACTGGATATGCAACTGTTTAAGGAATAAAGCTATTAAGGGAATTTGTATCCAGCCAGATTCTCAGCTGCTGAACATAGCACTGCTTACAATAGACCTGTGCTGACTGACATCAGCTCAGGATCTGCCTCGGGATCTGAAGGGAACTTCAGCCACTTATATTTTCCAGTTCTCCTTTGGAGCTGCATGTGCCTCAGAATGACGGAAAATCAAACAGAAATGTGTTTAAGGGAGCAGCCAGAAATGGAGAGATTTCTCTTTCCTGCATGCTTTTGACCATTTGTCTGCATGCAAATAGCAGTGTAATTTTCAGTAAGACACATCTCATGTAAGTATCCCCTTGGCAGTCTGTGTTGTAACAGGATCATCAGACATCTGGCTTATACACGTGAGAATTCATTATTCATTGTAAGCACTGAAAACTATATTATTAAAAGGATTAAAGCACACATTCGTGCAGAAAAAGGGACAAACTCCAAAGAAAACTGGAGAAAGAAAACTCCAAATGTCCCTGGTGCTGAATAGGAGACAGGATGAGAGCCACTGTGTGTGCCCCCTCCTCTGTCCACCAGCCCCCTCTGCAGACGGTGCTGTTAGTGAAGTGGCAGCAGCTGGAAGAGGCCAAGCGTGAGCAATTGTTCCTAATTCACCTTCCCGTGTATTGCATGGCTTAATACACTGCTAGCACATTTCCTCCTCAATGACCTCTTTCCCAGACCCGAGACTCCTGGATATGTCTCCCATCATGGTGGAAGCTGTTCTATACCTTTCACCATCTTTCTTAAGTCTTTCCTGAAGCATTTCTTGTTCCTTCACAGTCTAACTGAAATGCAGACACTGTTTAAGATCCTTCCGTGGTCTCTCCTAAGTAACAACTAAATTTCATTGCTGCTTACATATAGTGAGGGTTTTTTTCGCCCTTTGTGCATTACCTTATGTTTTTTAACTTTGAATTTGACCTCTCATTTTCTTAATCTCACTTTCATATTATCACACTTAATGATTTATGTAGTAAGTGTATTCTTTGTTACAGATTGAAATCAGAGTGACTGCTCTAAAGTTGCCTGGCTTTCCCTTTCAGCCCATTTAAAACTGGCATTGCTCTTGCTGATTTCCAGTCTCCTGCACCAATGCAATTTGAAGAAACAGAAACGCTGCAGGCTGTCCCAATCCTGCAGAACCTTTGCTTGAAAGTTCCCTGGTCATGAGAAGAAATTCTTATTCATTCATCAGTTTTATCTAAAATCTCTTCTGCTCATAGTTCAGCTCAAGAGAATTGTTCTGACTTATTTTACACAAAGAAAGGCTGTATGGCAGCAACATCTAAGCTCCTCCATCCTGGATCCCTACACAGATTGCCTACTGTGGTGTTCTCTTTGATATGCACCTTTTTAAATCAAACATTTATATCACCCTACATACGTCCCTTCTCTAATGCATTTGGGAAAATTTTTATTATTCCATTTTATGCCTTTAAAAGTTGTTCTTTTATTTCTTTTCTGGACTGCCTTACTCTCATTTTTCACCCCATTTGCCAGAGTTTATGCTTTTTTTAAAATTTTACGCAATTGGACACAACTGCCATTTTTGAAGGATTTCCTTAGTTGTAATAGTCTCCTTTACTCCTCTTTTTAAGTACTTCAGCTTAACATTTTTCCATTAAGGATTAAAAATAACAAACCAAAACAACATGCTTTTGCTTTGAATCTACAACACTGTGTCTTTAGATAATCACCATGCTGTCTGTAAGATTCTTTTACAATTGTTTCTTCATAGTTAGACAACTTTTTATTGAATTTAAACACTGTGATAATGGCCTTTCTGTGGTCATTACTGCAGTATAGTTCTCTCGCAGTAACATTTTGAATCTAACCTTGTGTATTGCTCAGAAGGACAAGAAGATAAGGGTTTATTCTTGTGGATTCTCTTCTCTCTTATCCCTTTCCTTCTGTGAAAACTTAGGCTCTGCACCAAGCCCCGTTGAGATAGTTATCTGGTATTTGTGGAGGATGAGCTACGTGGGCAGTGTCCTGCCTATGGAAAGTCCAGACTGTCGATTTGCCTATGTGAGTACAATATATGAATGTACAGATCAGATCACTGATCCTCCCAGAATAACAGCTGCACTTGCACTGGAAATCATAATGAATCTTAGGTATGAAGTGCAGTTCATGAACCAAATACTCAGCTGCTTCAGAGAAGTTCCTTCAGAGCAGTTTCAAGTCATCAGAACTGTGCCAGCCTTGACCTGAGTGATGGGTACAGATTGACACCCTGACGTGTATACACCAGTTCCAACGCACAAAACTCACCAGTTGATAGCAGAAGCTCCTCGGTGGCGTGGTAGGATGGATGGATGGTAAATAATTGAGCCATGTTTCGGGCAGTCAATAACATCCATGGGGATGAACTGTGTACAGAATGGAAGGACATTTAGCTCAGCTCCAACCGATTTGTAGGCTGCAACTACTTCCTGGATAGGCTTGCCTTTATCTCTCCATCTGGGGAACTTAAAAACAGGAGTGCCGTCCTTCTCCGCTGCCAGTGCTGAGGGGCAAGAACAGTGTATTTTTTTAATTCACATTTCATGTTAAAAATATAGACTGAAATCAGAGAGATACTGCATGCACTGGAACAGGATGCCCAGAGAAGCTGTGGATACCCCATCCCTGGAAGTGTTCAAGGCCAGGCTGGATGAGGCTTTGCGCAACCTGGTCTAGTGGAAGGTGGCCCTGCCCATGGCAGGGGGGTTGGAACTAGATAGACTTTAAGGTCCCTTCCAACCCAAACCATTCTGTGATTCTATGATTCTAACATAAGCAGATAATTGAGTGTATGATTACAGAGTGCCCTTTGTACTGTCCTGTATGCTGTTTAAAAACCTTATGCTTGGATATATTTTATTAATTCTTTGATTCTCATTCCTGTATCTTATTTTCAACTTTAAGTTCACTCATGACTTGGCTAATAAGTAACAATGAAAGCAACTGGTTTGGTTTAGCAGAACTTATTTTCAGCAATTTCTTCAAAATTCTGTTTACTGATGCCTTCTGGATATGCTTTCATTTATCTGAGACACACAGCTACACCCAAAATTAGGCTCAAAGGTGAGAAAAAACAACTGCACTAATTGCAGAGAGAATTTTTAGGTGTTTGATAAACTCCATTGCACAACCACTTACTAACTCATCACGGATAGTAGGACAGTAGAGTCAAACTCTACATCTGTTGAGTTGTATGTGTAATACGAAGAAAAGGGAGAACAAGAAGAGGTATGGAAAATTCACCTAATTTAATTTATTATTTCTAAACATATCTTTGTATTTTCCTCTCTCTTTTTCACTTCTGAAACTGGACCTTGATTTTGACCAGAAGAATTTTTAGCCTATTAGGTTTTAAGCAAATACTTACTTAAATTTCATTCCATGAAAGTTAGTATATACTGCAATTGCTTTTAGAAACAAAAATTGTAGCTGTCTAAGGATACAGAAACATTAGCAACTTTTACTTAAGACTTAAGCTCTTTGAGTCATCTGGAATTAAAAAGCAACAAAATACCTAGTGATTTCTTTGGGTTTTCATCAGGATAGCAATAAACTAATTTTATGGCTTGGTTAAATATACGATTAAAATCAGTGGAAGATTTACTTAGTTACATCTGCTAGTGTAGTGACTGTACAACAGTAGTTTATATAATGTAACCAAGTGTTATGGTATGATTCCAGAGCTGGATAGTCAAATTCATAGTCAAATCATCTTTTTCTAAACTAATAGTCGCCTCCTCTAATTCTTCCAAAATGTGATTAAATCTTTTAATGAGGTAGAGTTACAGAATGTAATAAACTTGAAAATCATATGCTAGTTTGGGAGTGTCATAGCCTAGGTAAGCAGGATAATGTTTGATTCTTCCACATGAGAGTTCTGTAAAAACATGTCAGGACCTGGGGGGAAAAAAAAAACCACAAAAAAAACCCCAAACCAACAGAAAAACAAGAGAGGGAGACTTGAGACAGCTCATGGAATGTAGTTTTAATTTCAGATTATCCATAAAGTACATTCCATTCAGTCACTTCTATTTTCTAATCATATTAACTCACTATTTTTGAGCCACTGGAAACAAAAGAAGTTACCATCCAAATGATTACAAGGTAGCTTCCTTGTCACACTGGGCTCTGCTCTGAGAGTACAATTCTGGACACCTGTCAGGCAACAACTCTTTCTTTAGGAAGTCTAGAAAATCCTTATGCATCTTAACAATGGGAAAAGGGAGAGCAAAGCCTCCTCTAAATTTTTCATAGTCCAGGTGGAAGAGAAATAGGCTCTGCAGGTACACTGCCGCACTCAAGCCTGCCAGAAAGGGCAGAGAGCCAGGGATAAACTTGCGTGACTCCGTGCCTTGAGCGTCCCAGTCAGCACAGTGCAACAGGCGACACACATTCGTGCTTGAGCACAGGCTCAGCAGCTCTTCGCTTTAAGATACAGATCTCATTCAAGGCAACTACCTCAAAGACGTACATTCAAATAAGGCACCCAGATTAATTTCTCTTTCAAATATCTCAATGCATGGCCCTGTATGGTTAGAAACAACTTTTAAATACTGACTAACTGACAAGGTTAAACCGGTTCTGGGACCTGTGTTTGTTAAAGCATATTTCTTGTGCTGAATCCAGTGTAATAAAGGCAATATATGCAAGTCATTCCCATGTAGATATCACCTTCTCACGAAAACGCAAGTTGGTTAGGTATGCCTATAATTTTAACATTTAGATTAAGGTTACACTTACCTAAAGGATCGGCTTGTCCATTCTTGTCAGGCACTGTGAACACTCCCACAACTTTGTGTCCTTCTTTTCTCAGCTTGTTATAAACTTCTTGTCCAAAAATACTTTGACCTATAAGGGCTAGCTTTAGCTTATGTTGGTAAGCCTGGTAAAAAGAATGAAAACAAACCATGTTCTAGGATGCAAAGAAAACACATTGCTTACATTCCTTTCTTGTTCTTTCTTGATCAATGTTCATTTTGATTTAAAATGGAAGAGTCTTTCTATGCCAATCGCCTTTGAAGGAATAACAATCAATTTTTTGAGATTAATGACAGACAACATACAATTCAGAGAGACCACATTCAGTGTGAAAGCATCATCTAATACTGTCACTGATGCTTATATGGCTTTCCCAGAATTTTCATTAGACAGACCCACTGCTTGTTCCAAGAAGCATAATAGGCTCTGTGGTCTTATTCATAGACAGAACCAATACTGTAAGAAGTGAAAATACATTTTTTGAAATAGATACATAAAACACTTTCTCTAGGCATAATTTAGGTGCATGGAACACACCCTCTAAATGCCTATAATTAAATGGTGGCATGTTATTTGTGGTTAATATGTATAGGCTAAAGAAGACAGGCTTGCATTGTTTCTGCCAAGTTAAAGGGAATGATCATCCTATAAGGAAATGTTGCTAACTGCAAGGCTCCCTTGCTGGACTCCCACTGCCTTCTGTGTTTGCACCCCTGTACACTGGACACGTGCTTTAAGCTTCTTCAGACTGAGTAGTTGTGAATAACTGCCCCAACTTTTTATTTTTAGGACAGCTAGAATCACAACACTACTATGATATCAGGATACCACGTACTGCTACGGTATTCAAGCACTTGCACCCTCATAAAACTACTAATAGCTTCAGAGCCCCTTTAGATATAGGGGGCAGCTGTGCTCCTCTCCCACCCTACCTCCAGCCCCTTGTCTCTACCATATCCTTTATCCCAGAACTGGTATTCCTGTAGCGGCATGAACTGCACGAGGGTACTGCAGGAGGGAGGCACTAACCTGGCAAAATATGGCTTATTCTTAACTGGATCTATTCACTGATCTAGTTCATTGCGCTGCTGTGAGTCCTAAAGCAGGTCCAGCGGGCAGCAAGTATGAGCATGCAAGCACTGTCAGAAGGGTGGAACTGTCCCTATAAGCACTGACTTTGCATTTTTCATCAGCTTCTGGAAACTGGAAACCTTCAAAAAACAAATGGACTAGCAGACCTGGTTATGAAGGAAAGGTCCAGACAGAATCAACAGAAAACTTAACCTTCTCCAAAGCTGAATCTAGTAGAAACTATTCCTAGACTCAAACCATTAAAGATCCCTCCTCTTAGCAGGCCTGATGAAAGGTACAAACTAAATCCACGTACTCCCCACCTTTATTCTTAACTTCATCTTTCCCAACTAGGTTTTGACTTCCACTTTTTTGACTGACCCACCAGCTGTCATAAGCTCAGAACAATGAAGTGGAATCAAAGCACCGGGTGAATGTCTTAACCACCACCAGCCGTTCTTCTGTATGTTGGCACTTGCATGTTTTTCTCCTCCCTCCTTTCCTTTCTCCTCCCTTTCCTTTCTTACGCTGGCTGGGACATGAGGATACCTTGACTAAGTGGGTTATTGATTGAATACCAAATGGTCTGGACCGCCCATCCGATTATATGACAAATTCTATGACAAACAAAGATGTCCTGAAAAACAGGGTACTCAAAACCATAATCCTTTCCATTGCAATCCATTTCACAGTTGAAATATTATGGATGTATTTTGCTGTTTTCAAATCACATTTTAGTGGTGCAGCTATCTTCAGAAAAGGGACTCACAGAATAGTAGGTTCCATTAGAAGAATATTGAAGTATGCTTTTTATTTTTTCTATAAAACAATAGGAAATCGCTATTTGTCCAGAGACAGTATTTTCCCTCAGAATGGAACTGTGTAGTACAACTGCCCCTGTATTACAGCATCAGCCAGCACTAGTGCAACCACAGTGGTAACAAGTAGTAAGGTGCAAAGGTGGATATAAGTCAGGCTGTGGCAAAACCAGATTGTTACAGCTGGCTGGCAAAAAACATCTGTGAGAGCGGTGATGAGAATTCCTAACCCATGCTGCACTGTTGGCAGTAGTGCCTGGAATATGCCCACTGTTTTGTTCTTAATTAAGACAAGACCTGTTCTGAATTACAATGAGCACAACTTATCTTTGCAATCTTTGTCTAGCAAGGTCCAATACATGCAGGTAGATCTCATTACCAATGCTTTATGACTGATATCTTTGCTTTTACAGCAAAAATGTTGCTGCATTATAAAAAGTAATTAGCAGATTTTTCTGATCACTGAATTATTTTAACTACAGCTGGCAAGTTGGAGAAAGATTAACCTGCTGGATCACTGAGTGTTTGGCATGGTATGAAAACCTCGGATTTCTGTACGCTACTAATTTACAGTTATAGCCCAACTAGTATATTGAAGAGACATTAAAGATAGTCCAGATGAGAGTTATTTATTCTACTTCCATCCTTTCTAAAGAGCACAAGACTGGAAGGGATCTCCTTAGCTAACAAATATAGTCCTCTGTCATCACAAGCAGTCATGTCATAGGGCTGCTTTTGTAAATTTATTTACAAAATACCTCCATTTTAAAGTACTTTTACTCACTGCTGTACTCAATTTCTTTTCTGATAGTTGGCCAATCTTCTTGTAATTCTCAGTCCAAATTTATCACCACTTTAAAAGCTACCTTTTCTCCGCTTATTCACAAAGTGTTAGTAACATATGCATCCTCTATTCCTAAACCTAACTTTTAGTTCATGTTTCTCTGCCAATAAATCTGATTCTCATATTACAAAGAACTGCATACCAGTTTCAGTTCCAAATAATGAGTTGCTGTAAATCAACATAGTTTCAGTAAAGCTGCCCGTGCTTAATTTGTGCTAGTTATGGAAATGAGTCAACAAATGGTGAGAAGAGAGAACACAGACTCCGAAGAACAGAAAAAATAAAATTGGCAAAATTGAGAAGACTGGCTGAGTCCCATTTCTTCATTGTAGAGTACAAAAAGATTAGCTTGGCAGCAAATCAGCTCTGCTGTCTCTCACTTACAGAAAGTTACTCAAATGGGGAATGATTTCAAGCGCAAGATGGATCTGCTAATTGTGCTATGACCAGTGATTCCTGAGTTACTTCTCCAAGGAATGGTACATGTGTATTGCCTGATTTCTATTAACATCTGGCTTAGACGTGGCAATTTGCTTGTAGTACATACACTGTCACCAGTAGAAAGCAGGAGCCAAACCCACAAGTCAGCCATGCACAGGATTTCTACTGAGTAAGAAAAAAATTTAAAAAAGAGAGAGAGAGAAAAGAAATCCATATGTGAAAGGGCTTGCATGATCAGACCACATATGCAGTCCTTCATTTTTTGTCTTATTTGAAAAATGTCAGTTGAACAACTGCACGAGATCTTATAGCCACTCTGTATCTCCTTTTGGAAATCCTCCTCAAACAATTTGCTTAAGATGAGTTAGACCTGTGAAAGTGGGAAATTAATGTGGACATAACACCCAATTAAAATGGAAAGTTCTGTAAGATTACACAGAAATTAAAAACAGTTTGGCACCTTTACAGAAATGGCACCTTTTGGGCCAGCATGCCATCACTAGCGTTCGTCAAGAAGCTGTAGAAAGGAAGGCCATTAAAAAACATTAAAACAATCTTGTTGAATAATATGCTAGATGGATACTAGATCATTATCACTAACACACACAAAGATTAAACTTTTTACTGTTTCTGTCAGTGATGTTAAGAGGCTCTGTTAGATTTCTTTTGCAGTTGCCTGGCTGACTACAGATGTGTAACTTTCATTAACAGATGCATGGGAATGTAAACGGCCATGTAGTATCAGTCTGGACTGTTTGCTGTACTTTTCTAAGATTACCCAACTCCTAGTCATGGCAAACAATGCGGTTCAGGTGGCTTAGAGAGATCTGGTATTTCTTCTATGACTAATCATAGGATAACATAGCTGGATGTGGCTTTGAGCAACCTGGTCTAGTGCAAGGCGTCCCTGCCCATGGCAGGGGGGTTGGAACTAGATGACCTTTAAGGTCCCTTCCAACCCAAACCATTCTGTGATTCTATGATTCTATGATTATTACGACAGTGCTACCAAAAGATAAGAATTTATTAAATGAATGCTCACTTTAGTGTAATTCTGTTTTTTTCATTGGCTGAACTTTTAATTTCTTCTTTAACCTTCTATTTTGCCCAGAGAAGCTATGGATGCTCCATCCCTGGAAGTGTTCAAGGCCAGGCTGGACAAGGCTTTGAGCAACCTGGTCTAGTGGAAGGTGTCCCTGCCCATGGCAGGGGGGTTGGAACCAGATGGTCTTTGAGGTCCCTTCCAACCCAAACCATTCTGGGAGTCTATGATTCCATTTTGCTTGTAACATAGATTAATATTAATTCTGTTTACCTAACTCAAATGGTCCCAGTTTGGATGAGGAAAATAAGGTAAAGGTAAGAAGCATAAAACCAGAGAACTGCTTGTACAAGCAGTCTTATCTCCAATGCTCAACTTGACCGAAAGTTCGATTTTGTTTCACCACTTCAATATGAATAAACATATTTAACTTCCCCATTTAAAAATTCTGGCCGTACCATCTGTTGCTACCATGCTGGAATTTATTTTACAATGGCTCATTAAAAGGCATACAGTACTTTAATGTTTGTTTTTATTCGGGTTCTGTTTTTCCTCCAAAAAATCTAACCAAAAATAAAACTAATAAATACAATTAAGCACTACATAGAGAAGCAGCCTGACAAATGCTGATAACTATTTTGTCAAGTTCCTAAAGATGGAAGACAAGTCCAAGAGCTACATTTTCTTCTCTCACAAGAGTCTAATGTTACAAGACCTCTCCACTTCAGAGTATTTATTTCATAGATGAAAGTAATTTTGTTACTGCCTCTTTTCTATATGTGTCAAACATTCAATCGGTTATGAGTTTCTGATCAAATTTCTTGAAGGCTAACATTTCATAACTGCTACTCTAGTTATGAAGCTTAACATCACAAAGATTACAGTATTTTATTCTGCCTAAGAATTGAGTGAAGCTAGTAAATATTTTAATGTTACACCCTTTTTTAAAATGAATGTAGAATGATGCCTCCTTTGACAAGCAGTACTGCAACTTTCTTCCTACTGAGAATCCCCCTACATGTGCTAAATTCCTCCAAACAGAAACCTGCCATAGAGCCTCCCCTCCCATCTACACATCTATGGGCAATGCGTGCTCACCAGTCATCCATTCTCGGTTTCTGGCACTGCCAATTGCATTTCCAAAAAGCTTGCTTAAATCTCTTTGCTCTAATGCCTCCCATGTAGATACCTTTGGAGGACTCGAGCTAAACTGAGCAGGTAAACATGAAACAAAGCAGAGTCTTCAGGAAGGAAAAAATCTTCTACCAGCCTCATTCATCTTGCCAGACCTACATATCTGGACAATATGGTTTGGGCAAGGCTCCCGGGGAGCGGTTACTTGCAGGAGTTCTGCAGTCTATATATTTAACAGGTCATAAAGAATGGCTTGGAGCAAATGCGCAGAGCTCTAAAAAACGAAGCCATGGGGTGCGGAGGAATTGAGGCCACCAACTTCAGCCCCGAGCAACTCATCATCCCAGAAGGTCACAAAGCTAAACACTTCCTAGGCCAAAGCGTGGGGCTTCTCCCCGCACTGGGAACGGGCATGGTCCCTCCTAACTGGGAAGGCAACCTTCAGCTTCTCACGGGGCAACTCCCGCGTGAGGGAGGCAGCGCACAGCCACACTCACATTGTTCCCGACACACGATTACTGCCAGCATCGCTGGTGCCTGTTCCCTGTAGCTTCCAGGCACATCCCTGCAAGACGCAGCGCCCAGATGATGGCTGCGATCCCGCCCGCAGACCAGCCGGGCAGGATGCTGCTTCTGCACCCG